TTAATTTTTCGATCTGAGACGGATCAATGTAGAGAGACGCATGATCCGTCTCGTGGATGCCACGTGTCATCACGTCATTCGATCAAACCGATCTGCGACGAAGACCAAAAATGAAAAAAGAAAAAAAACCGATGATTGCTTCTCTTCTTTCTATCTTCTTCGGCGACGAGAATGGCAATTCTCGTCCTTTTTTCTTTGTTGATCGTTGTCATCGATTCTCGTAGCCAGTTCTCCTCTCATGTACATCTTCTTCATTCGTATAGTGGTGATTATCCAGATAATCGATTTTGGAGCATAGATCTGAGTCGAATCTCCTTGTTTCTCCTGCATATCCTCTGTCTTCGTTCTCTGGATCATGACGATGCGTGTAAGTCCTCTCTCTTCGTTCTCTGGTTGTACTTTATAGGTTTAGAATGTTCAATTATCTGGTTTAGGGTTTGCAGAAATCAGATGTTAATCTGAATCGATTACTTCTGTTTGAAATCGAATCGAGTTCTTGTGTTTCTGAATGTTTTGTTGCTGACTCAAATCATGTTCATAAATCACAGATTTTGTTCTCTTATAAGCTCTGAATCTGTTTTGAACTTGTGCATAAGAAGTTGCATTTGGGACAATCATATTGGTGGAACCAAAACCTAATTTCCACGCTTTGTTTTCTCAAAATATGATAAATGCATTTTGGATATTCATTTACTATAACTGGGAATTGTAAGTTTGAGTGGTTAAATCTGTGTAATCGGTATATGTTTTGTGAGTAACCTCATTAGTCATGATCAAGTCCTACGTGTGTGTTTGGTTCTTTGTGGTTATATTGTATGAGTGTTGATTCGTTTCAAATGGTTGGCTTCATAGGTTATCGGGATGCTAGGAAAAGAGTCTTTGTAAACCTTATTGTTCATCTTCTATATATATCTTAGATTATATTTTATAATGACTCCATCTCTGTTTTCTTAACTTGTGCTGCTCTGTTTGGAGGCTTGGATGGTGTTATCAAGTATGCTCAAAAACCACTCTAGCCGGCTCTCTTCTTCATTTTCAGGTCAGTGTTCTCCCTGTCTCTTAGCAACTGTAGATGATCAGTAATTAGTTTTGGTTCTGCGTAGAAGCTGGTAGATAATTGTTGAATTGTGTATAACTTTGTAACTTGATAGTGTAATCAGTT